ATTACGAGGCAACAAAGATTTATAATCAATTAAAAGTATTAATTAAGAAAATATAATAAAAATTATTAAATTAGATTCAAATGATGTTTTAAATCTTGCCCAAATCCTTAACATCTTATGACTACGTGATTAGGGTTGTCAAAACTATTCTTTGTTCGTGAATGGCTCGTGTTCAGCTCGCTAAGCAAATGAGCCGAACACGAACACACTTTTTGGACTCGAAATATAAAAGATCCGAACACAAGGGAGCCCAGGCTTGCTCGTGTTCGGCTCGTTTACACCCCTAGTTCCAACCCATATAAATGCATTTTGTTTCATTCATTCAATTCTATTCATTATATCCTTTGTTGTTTCTCTTTACATAGGTGCGAGCCACAACTGACAAACATAAGCAAACCACATCAAGCCTACACTCCCTTGAGATAGAACTCGAGCAAACAACACAAAACCTCTTGAAAGCCAGAGAAGAAAGAAAAGCAGCAGTAAACTGCCTCAACTCTGTAATTCAAGAGCTAGAGAAAACAAAGACTGAACTTAAGAGACTAAAAGTTAGAGATAGAGAAAACTCAACTATGGATTCAGAGGTTGAGCACATCAAGTTTATAGAGAATGCAATGCCAATCCTCAACGAAGATGCAGAATTTGAAAGCAAGAGATTTATGAAGTTTAACAATTTGCCATCTTTGGGTCGGTTCTTCAGCTCTGAAAATCTCTTAGATACGAAAGTTTCCATGGATAGGGAAGTACTAGAACTGATAAAGAAGAAGAAGAAGAAGAGGGCATTTCTTCCTGTGATAGCTTCTATTTTTTCTAAGAAGAGAGAATATAGACATGAAGCATCGATCACAAGAAAAATCTCCACAGGTGTAAGGATCAGCTCAGAGATTTGATTCAATTGTGTGAAAGTAAGGGAAACAAAATCATCTTTATGTTTGTGCCAAATTTTCTGTGTAAGAGGCTGTAGTGTGCTTAATATTTCTTTTGTCTATTGCTTTTGTAAGATATAACAATTGAATTTTAAGTTGCTTTCTTGCAGGAAGTGGTTAGTTTCAGGAGTTCCTGAATCCTTACCTAAAGAACATTGTGATTCTTTGTTATGTTTTGGTGTGAACATTGATGCTAATTGTGATCAAGCAGGCTTGATTTGAAATATATATATATATATATATATGTATATTACCTTGAATTTGCTTCTTATGGAGGGGGCTACTGAAATTTTTAGTATAAACATTTGTTTTACTAAGTATGTTTACGTATTAATAAGTGTTTGGATGGGAAAAAAAAACTTAGTACTTCGATCAATTCGAATTCAAAACCACACCACGGAATAGAGTTAGCAATAATTCTAGAAATCCAAAATTTTTTTTTTGAATTGAAGTACAACAAAAGTGATGAAAAAAACACACCAAAATTTACGTGGAAAACCCCGAGAATAGAAAAAAATCACGGAGCCACAATACAAAGAAATTACACTATGAATGAGAAAAAAGTACAAAGATTACATTCATATCAATTCTCTGCAAATATAGAAACTTACAGAAAACTTTGCTCAAACACTTGCTCTCAATCTAATAAGAGAAAGCCGTCGCGGAAATCCTCCTCCTCGACCCTTTCTGCTTCACGAGAAACCTGTCCAGAATGTCAAAGGCAAGATAGAGATACTTCATCCCTCGTATTGATTGATGGCTTAAGAACCGAAACCAAAGCAACTGCCTCGGCGGTGTAACCACGCCAAGTAGCAGCATAAATTTTTCATGTGCTTGGGAAGGAAATGAACGATCCGAAACATTTCAACACAGCTACACCCATTGTGACATGCTTAAGCCTGACTTGAACGTTGCTACGCTAAGACAGAGGCATCAATGCGTGTAGAAGCGGTGCAGGGGCACTCCTTTAAGCTATGCAAGAGCTCCCCTTCGAGGAATAATAAGTAGTCATATGTCATTTGTCCTTTTATTCTCAATTTACTTTTGTTTTGATGAAATATATGATTAAAAAAACATCAATCATATTATCACAATAATATTACTGCTAAATGTTCTAATATAGCAAACTATCATGGCTTTCTTCTTAAATATGCGAGTACATTTTATCAATGAGTAAGTATATTCTTAAGCTCGAATTTAAGAAGATTTCTTACTAAAAACTAGAGATTATCAAGACTTAATTTGGCTGGTGCTTAAGAATTTGACTCCCTCTAGAGATTAATTACATACTATCTGACTTTTTTTTCTATAGATGAAATATTATTAAATATTTTTGTGGCATGGCTTGATATAACAATATGTATTTATGTACGCAATCGGTGATATGTTGGTTGACAGCTTTGGCGTAAGTCTCTTCTGACCCAAGTTTGAATCCATCTGAGTTGAATTATTACATATGGGGTGGACAAACACATGTTAAAGTCCATCTTCTCCAATAAGATATATATATACAAACATATATATATATATATATAAGTTTTAAGTGGGACCCATTTGATTATAAGTGAGTGTAAGGTTAATTAACCATAATATAAATAATTAAACTCACTTAAATTATAATACACACTAATAATTTGATGTGACTTAAAAGTGACCCTATATAATACAAGTATATGATCTAGTTCACAAGTCGAAGCAGTGGCGAGAGTAGATGACCTCCTCTTGCTACTGCGGTAGGTGGCCTCAAGGGTCCCCAAAACACGGGGTCTATGAAGTGGCTGACCACCTGTACCACCTGTGGCTTTTTGCAAACAAAGGAATGGTATTAGAATAATTGGTATTGGCGGGAAAAATAATCATAAATATAAAGAAACAATATAATAAAGGTAAGACACAAGAAAAACAAGAGTAAGAACAATGCTTAATAACAACAAAAGTAGAAGACCAAAAGTAGCAGTATCAACAACTAATCTAAAGTTTATTATTTTCCATTTAACAATCCCAAATTAGATGTTAATTTTTTTGTCTAAAAAAACGACTCTAGTACGAGCCCCTCCCGTAGTGATAGCTTTTAATGTTCATGTTAAATCTAGTGTAGGGGTTTGAAATTCTAATGTTGAATGATGCCCTCCCCATCACTTTCTCAATGATTAAAGGAACTTTTCTCAGTCTCGTTAAGCAAGAAAAAAACACTTTTGAATGAGAAGGCAGCATTCTCCCTTTCTCTTATCTTATCTAAATGGACTTAAAATGGAGGATAATTTATGTTCTATATTTGCTATGCTGATCTTCATCCTGTATTCGTGTCTATCAATGTTTCTTGGTTGTCATAATTCAATGTGGCCATTTCTCTCTGCTTGAAGTAACATTAATCCAAAGCTTGACTTTTGGAATTTTTGTTCATGTAATGTTTGGTTAGAAAGGAACGGCAGAGTGTACAGATATCTAAAGCCTTATATATATCAATATCATTTCACACCTTATTTTGTTTGCTTCAATTCGTTGCTTATTGATGACTTCAGCCTTATTGTCTTGTCTTTAATAACTCACTAATAGCATTCGTCTAATTCAAATAAAAATGCAGATCAGCGCTACGACTATATGCTAATAAAAAAATCATTTCTTATCAACCTAATAAGAAACCATATATATATATATATATGTGTGTGTGTGTGTGTGTGTGTGTGTGTGTGTGTGTGTGTGTGTGTGTGTGTGTGTGTGTGTGTGTGTGTGTGTGTGTGTGTGTGTGTGTGTGTGTGTGTGTGTGTGTGTGTGTGTGTGTGTGTGTGTGTGTGTGTGTGTGTGTGTGTGTGTGTGTGTGTGTGTGTGTGTTTTAGCTAAATACTATGATACAAGCTCCCAACCAACCTCATGTGTCAAACCACTCAATCTAGCACTGTAAGACAAATTCACTCAAGCGGACTCAAATCCGTGACCCCAAGAGACTCACGACTGACTATTCAGATGCCAACTAAAGAGTCAAGACACTTGATATATATATATATATATATATAGATATATATATATATATCCCGCATTATATAGCATCAAAATTAATAAATGAAAAGTAATTTTAAATCTTCTGTTTTGTTGATGCTTTTACATACATAACACCCAATGCTTATTTATTTACATATCTAACACCTCAATTTTGGATTTTATATTTATACCACCCAAATCTTTTATATCACTAAAAAAATAATAATATTTTGACCTCTAAAAAGTGAAATACACCATTTTAATGCACAGATAATTATGTGGCATGCATGTAAAAATAGAAGTTTAGCAGCTAGATATGTAAATACATAGGAATTGAGTGGTATGTATTTAAATCTTTCTTTTTTTTTCAATTTAAATTTAATTTTATTGTCTTTTAAAATTTTTTCAAGCCAACCAAAGGCTTTAAATTTGTGCGCAATCTTTTGATCTTTTCACCCAATGAAAACTACAGTAGCGAGTAAGGATTAAAGTCGAAGTCAAATTATTATTTTTTAAATTAGTTATTATGAGATTAAGTGCCCGTTTGCGGCAGCTTATTGGGAGCGGTGTCGTTTTGAAAACACCGCAATGGTGTTTGGATTTTGCGTTCGCACAAGCGTTTTCTTACCGCTGATACGCGGTTTAGAGGAAAATAGACGTACTCGTATAATCGGACCTCCCTTAGCGTCCTGCGTTCAGTTCGTGCAGTAGGGTGAAAAAGACGCCCCGTGCCCCTCTTCGGTCCCCCTCGCCCTCGCCTTCTTCCTCGCGGTCGTTGAAAAATTTGGCAAAAATTTCACTCTCTGCTCTCCCTCGTCGTCGTCCTCCTAACGAAACCCTAGTTTCCTGCCTGGTATGCAACATCGTTTTCGATCCTTCTCTGATTTTGCTAGATCTTGTTCGACCCCTAACTTGTGTCTCGTTGCATCTTTGTTTGGATGCACCACTATCAGTTTCAGAGGTTATAGCAGTTTTTATGGAATTTTGGATGGATGCTTTTGCTAGATCTAAATTTTGGAGGTAGTTTTGTTTCAAATCTTTCGACCCTTCTCTGTTTTTGCTAGATCTGAAATGTGGTGCGGTTTTTGTTTTACTTGTGCTTTCAGTCTCATGTTGGATGCATTTTTTGTTTCATTTTTTGCTAGATCTGAAATTTGTATAAAACTTTGGGCATTACATATTTCTTTAAAATGGTTCTTATTGAATTTTGAATGGCCGTTGTTATGAAATTTTGGATGGGTGTTTTTATGAAATTTCGTTAAAATGGTTTATCCTAAACATTAACATAGTTTGGGCATTACATTTTTTCGGCATTGCATTTTTCTAAATTGTTGGATGGGTGTTTTTATGGAATTTGGGATGTGTGCAGTTTTTGTTTCACTGTTTAGCAGATATTTAGATTCATTAAAATGGTTTTGACATTAGATAGAAAAATGTTGAATATAGTTTTTGTTTCATTAAATGGTTGTGGAGAAGAAACAATAAATGCAAGTTCATTTGCAATGCAAATACTATTCACTGTTCAACAAATGATGGGAATATTATTCATTGTTTATGCCATTTACGTGGTTATCAAACTTGAGATGCAATGCAATGCAATGCAATGCAAGTTCATTTGCAATGCCAAAAAAATGTTACGGGGTTTATATGCAATGCAGTGCAAGTTCATTTGCAATGCAAATACTATTCACTGTTTAGAGCATCAGATTGATATATTTTTACGGTGTTTTCAAGATTCCTTTGATGCTGGGGGTAGAGAGGAAATACACTGTATATATTTTAGAGCTTCGGTTTGCAACACTCATTATGGTGATGATGATGATTGTCGATATGAGCATCTTAGATAATGGAAATGCATTATAGTAATTTGACAATTTTTTTAGTGGAATTGGATTCCACGACATGTATGAGAAGTTGCATATCAATTGTTAGATGTGCATTGTTTTATTGTTACACATGTACTTTAGTTGTAGTTATGTGCTCTTACATAATTAGAAAATA